CTGTGCTGTATTTTGCATTTACCAGGACTCATGACATTTATTAATCACCCAGCTGTATTGTGTATGTTGCACACTTGTGTATTTCATACTGTATTTTGGGGCATTCTGACTGCTTTCATCTTAGAACAGAAAAAATATTGACAAAGACAGCAGATAAATTATTAACCTGCATGAATATCTTTAACTTCAATATCTTATTGTTTCAGTGATCAAGTTCTTGAAATTGGAATATTGGACATTTTTGGATTTGAGGAATTTCAAAAGAATACTTTTGAAGAGGTAGGTTGCTTTATTTTGCTGGATTGACTACAGTATAAATGTTCTTTAAAGCTTTTATTTTTCTTCTGAGCCAAAGCAGGTATCTAACCCTCATGAAAACAAATTCACATGTAAGAGAGAAATGTTACTCTTAAAATAAATTCCTCACATTCTGCCAGCATAGCTCTGAATTAAAATCCAGGCTTTGTAGAGTTATTCATCATTTTAAAGGAATCTAGTAAACATCTAACATAATCACTTGAGAGAACAGTAGTATGCACTTTGAATGATATTCTGAGAAATATGCTTAATGTTTTCTGGCTTCATGCTTATGGAAGGGATACTTCATCTAGGTCAGTGAATGGGAAGACAATAAACTGGATTAGAAATAAGATCAAAAGGTCTTCAGATGCCTTGGATAAAGAATAGGATGAAAATACTACATTATGCTAAGTGCTATTATTGGCAGATTCACCTCTATGACATTACAACATGTGACTTTAAAAAAAGCTGAATTGCAACCATAGAAAAATAAATTAACCTTTAGCACACTGAATACTTAAAAGTCCATTTAAAAATCAAACTTTTTCCCCCTCCTTTTTGTATCATTTTGGAATACAAAGATCTTCAAAATGGAGTGTTTTACAAAGCAGAAGGGACTCTGCTACTGTCCAATTGTTCATTTTGTAATGCAGCATAAATGGAATATTAAAACAGTGGCAGAAGGGGAAATGGCATCAGTAGCAACAAGAGCTTAAGGATGTGTTATGGCTGGAAATCACAGGAGAGGTAGAAGTTGCTCCTTTTCCTTAGTAAATTATTTAATTTATGGGTGGCTCAGCTTCCTTTTTTCACGTGTCTTTGATTTCTTTTGTTCAGATTTCTGGGCAGCTTATGCTTTTCTCCCTGCAGGGCTAGCATTTTGTACTGATTAGAATGGGGAGGTCCAGTTCTCTTCCCATTTCTCCCTCCTATATCTTTGAGCCTTCATCTGCTCTGAGGAGCTATTTAAGAGTAGTTTCTGATTATTCCTTAGTTCAGACTCTTAATACCCAATGATCCTTGATGTACCATACAGTGAGCAGGAGAGGAGGCCTATTTACTCCCTTCTCTCTGCCTCCCTCATACTCTCACTCCTATTTCAATCCTTCATAAAATCTAATTCTATCCAACAAAACACTTTATGTATGCTGGCAACTCTCTGCATGTGGGTAGTCACAGTAGGTTAAATGCTCACCTGAACAACAGCCCCTTAACACAGTCCTAAGGGCTAAAGCAGCATAAAGAAGCTCCAAAATGCTCTCAGGCCAGGCTGGTGATTAATTCTGCTGATGGATAGGGCCACGTCCTGTAACAAGAAGAAGATTACATACAGTGCTGCAGCCCAGTGGCAGTGAGAGAGGACTGCTGAAACTTAAAACAGGCCCTTGCTGTGAAGCTCAGAATAAGGAGGTGTCTCAAAGTTTCACCTTTCTATTTGCTGCGCTGCAAACTCCATGCTGCACGTCTAAGAAACATAGCATCTCACGCACTGAGTGCCACAGAATTGCCCAACTTGTTAACATTATAAACAAGCGTTTTGCTGAATTGGACCTACAGGGCATGTCTACACATGAAATTAATGCGACATAAACTCTGGTGCAGTTCACACAGGAGCCTGTTACTCTCAGGTGCAGTGTTTACATGTGCACCTGAGACCACAGCACATTAAACTGGGGCGGCATCGCCCTGGTTAGCAGGGAGCCCAGGCGGTCAGCTTGCCAGCCCAGAGCTGCTCTTCCCTGGCTCAGTGTGCTGTGGAGGGGATGGTTGGGGCACAAGGTTGCTACAATGCAAGGCCAGCAGGCAGCTTCTTCATTGTAGCACCCTCATGTCCTTCCAGCCCCACCACCATCTACACCCAACTCCGCCGTAGGATCGTACTTAGGTTGGGCAATACTATCCTACAGTGGAACTAATTAGTTTACTCTGACTTAATAGTACTGCTTGTATTGACAGTGACCTTTTAGTGCAAAGCTCATTAGTCAGCTCCACGGTAAAGTGCCTTGTGTAGACATACCCACAAAGAAGAATATAAAGCTAGTGCTTATACTGGAATCAAATCAATGTTAAAAAATAAAATATTTCTTGCAGGCTTAAAACACTTAAAAAGAAAACCATCTACCAATTAATAAGGGCAAGGTAGTTTTAATTCTTTAAGTGCAGTTCTGAGTTTAAACTTTAAATATATCCTAGTAGCAGGGTCTGTGAGGGTAGGGTTCTAACTGTTATTTTGTTTTGCCATTATTCAAAATCAGTTTCAGTAACTTACCTCATACAAGTTAGGAGAATAGTTTACTAAAATGACTACAATTAGTCTTGGGTTAATAACTACTATGAATACCTAAAAAAGAGAGTAGGAGAGTTACAGTGATGAATATGTGGAATTACACAGGTTATCTTTGTTCAACGTATTGCAGTAGAATTATAAAATACTTGAATGACTGAGTGGGATGCTCATGCTTAGTAAATTTTGATCTCATTCCAAAAATGTGTTTTGATTTGACCCCCAAAAGACAATGTCATCTCACTCCTTCACTGTCATCAGCAGGGATCCTGGTTTTCTCTGATAAAAAAAAATC